TGGTGCTCAGGAAGGTTATACATCTACACTGTTCTCAGCATGGGAAGGAAAATCCCAAATGACTGTGGTTGAGGCAGGGATGCTTGGCGAAGGTACCGGAAGGTGTCTGGGTAAAGTCTCTATATGGTACTTTTAAACCTCAAAGGACTTGCTGCCTCTTTAAAACTCTGGCTGTAAGAAAGTTCACAGACAGGCCCTGCTCTTTTAACATACAAAGACATCCTAGTGGTGGCAGATGTGTGGTGTAAATATGACACTAATAGAACATGTGTCCCCTTTGGAGTTACACAATTCAAAACTGGACCCTGGGAGGAGTGAGGAAAAGAAAATGGAAGTGGGAGAAGGGAGCTGTTTGTTCTTAAGTTTTGTGACTAGACTTAAACCAGGATTAGCATGCTGAAAGAATGTACTTCTAGTGATATGATTTTGGATTCCAGGGCAGAACTCCCCTCTGCACCCTCCTACCTATAGTTCATCAGTGTTCCACATGTTCATTTCCTGCCTTCCAAGGACAGTGCTTTAAGACAGAACATGGAACCTTAGCTGCAATAGCTTTTTCTATGTCTCAGCTCATCATGCTCTGATACTAAACTCTGTTTCACTATCTCCCTGTGGCAGAATATGCTTTCTTTTTCCAGAGGGTATGAGGAGCTTATGAAAAGAACCTCCATTTGTGAATCATGCTCTCATCAATCTTGGGAACTCTGGCAGCTTTTATAAAGAGTTTGCTAAGTTGTGCTCAGACACTGGAAAGATCTGATCATTTTAACTATTTCCCATAACATGGACATTTTTTCCTACAAGATGCTACTATGCAACAGCCAACAACAATGCAAAACTCTAGCTGGTTTCAAAGGAGAACCTGTCACTTAATTCATGTAATTTGAGAAATGGTTCAAGATTGGGGTCTCCTTTCTCCTCCAAGTCATAGGGACAAAGCTAAAGTATGAAATAAGAGTTTCCTCTCTGAAACTAATTTGAACCCTGGGGAGGCAGAGGTAGAGGTGAGAGGTGCAGAGTTGTGCAGGGAGCGCTGAAGACCTGGGGAAACATGCGGAGGTGTGGAGGGGAAGGAGGCCAGATAGACTCTAGGGATTTCTGGAGCAGAGGTACCTGGTATCAACTCCTCCTGACTGATTGGCTCTGGACCCCTGAGCTAGTATATAAGAAATGAAAACACAGAAAAACACACTTCAGATCGGGACTTAGAACTTGAAACCATAGTTTTTGAGCAGAAACTCTAATGTCTGTAGTGTTATTAAATACCCCTTTAGTATTAGCACTTTAACAAACTTTTCCGAACTGTTACGTTGGTAAGATTCGGTCTGCTTTAGGGGGTTCACTGTAGAATTATGCATTCATCGTATTCTCAATAGCTTGGTAATACACCTATGACTGAGTAATTATATGATTAGTCCCTCAAGAAGCCTTAAAAAACACATGGGCTAAAAAGAAATACTTTCAGGTCGAAAATTTAAGACAAAATTAAAATGTGGTTATTTTATTATACCCAGAGAAATTATGGCAAGGATGTATTTGGTCAGCAGCATCAGCGATTCCCTTTTTGTGCTGACTGAATGTTTCCATCATGACCCTGGAAATGCTGTTCACTGGGCCTGGGGGTACGCTCTGCTTGGCACAGTTTTCAGCCAGGACCTCACCTCTCCTTTCCCAATGTCTTCCACATCTTTGCTCATTTTTCTGTTTAGTATCATGTCCTGACAATAAGGACAGAAATGTGTGTGTCTGTGTGTTGGTAATGGCGGGGAGGTACCCTGAACTCTTCCTATTGGACACAGCAGATGACCACTGCCATAGCCTGACATCACCTCAGCCAAACATACCCCTCTCTTTAAAGTGTTTGTTGAACAACCTTGACATCTATGCAAAATATTTGATACTAGCTCTTGGCTCTGGATGTATATTCCCAGTGTGACTAATTCCTTGGCAGTAAAACTCACATTAATGGTGTTTATTGCTTAATGTCTTTTTAAGGAGTTTACTCTCATGCTGGTGCTGGGATTAGGGGTTTCCTGATGCTAACTCATCAGGTCCCAGTGCCCCTGTGGTCAGAGAGGGTGTGACTGGTGGTGGCCAAGGGTCAATGCCCTTTGTCAGTAACCAGAACTAGTACTCACTCCATGTGTTACAGATCTCAGATAGACTTAAACTCTGGGAAATGAATCTCTCATTGGCATTTCCAGACAAGTAATTGCAAACATTCTCTTGGAGTTGTAATAACTCAAAACCAACTTGTCTTTTATAAGAAAACGTAAAGATAAATCTGCTTGTTATAGACAAAGTCATCCTCTGCAGTTGAAAGACACTGGGAAAGCTGTTCAAAGTAATAGAGGTGAATCTAATTTTAAAGGGCATTGAAAAGAAATTTAGATTCTTTGCTATCAAGCTATGACCAATTTAGAAAAACAAATAGCAAAGAGAACCCCCTCACAGGGCTAACATTCTTTAAAATGTTGTATTTATTGCCCCTATTTTTCCTTTACCAGGAAAAATAAAAATTTCTTAGAAACTAAAATGTGATTCCAACGTATGCCTGGAATGAGGGTCCACTGCCCCACTCTTTCTCCAAGGGCTGTCCTGATAGGGCCATTCAGTGGCATAAGGTTTGGAACCAACTCCAACCCAATGACTGCCGTTGGTTTCCAAAGTTGTATGATCCCTGCTATCCGAGAGGAGCCATGTTGCCATCAAGCAAATTCTTGGGCCAAAATTTGAAGGCATCACTGACAGATGAACACTTGAGTTCCTTTCTTTCTTGCATCTTTCTATGGGATGCTCTTTCTATGGGTCCCACAGGCAAAATGAATAGGCACTAGAGTCAATTAGGTGTTTCTCATGCCCACATCCCCATGCTAGTTTTAATTTCTCTGAGGAACCTTTATTTCACCTAGAGATATCCATCCTTTCTTCATCTGAGGAGTGAACTGGGCTGGCTCTCCCTGCCTCTGTGTGATTATGAGTGAATCAGAGAGACCCTCCCTCCTGCCCCCTTGCTAGCATGAACAAATGAGTGGGTTTTCATTTTCTATGGAACACATGGCAAACTAAAACCAAGATGAAGTATAAGTTAATTTATAAGGTAGGGAGGGGAAGAGGTCAGGATGCTATTTAAATACGCTCAATATTTTTAGTTTTGGGATTCTGTTTATCACTGAAATCAAACTCTGTTAATATGTATAACCAGTGAATTTGATGGGTTCGAAACTGAGCCTTCAGAAGGACTGTTCCTTAAACTGAGTAGGTAGGTGTTAATCTAGTGTCAGATATCTCCATAACCTCCTTTTGTGCTCTGATTTTGATAATCCTATTATAGTAGATTGTTCAGCTTTGTTCTCTTGCTTGTAAAAAGACAGGATGAAATATTTTTGGCAGGAGAATCTACTGTGATACTAATTGTCCTGTTTCCAGGTGCTGGAGGAGCCTGGAAGAAATGAGAGGTATTCATTCTCCTTTCCCCTCCCAAAGAGTTTGCCAAGTCTTTGTGTTTCTCTCCCTCAGGGTATCATTGGTGACTTCTGTTTAGGGACAAAAGCAGAATTTTCCAGGCACCAGAAGACACATCCAACCTAAGATGGGGACAAAGAAGGGTATGGGGGTGGGGAAGACAGGTTGGGAGAATCAGAAGTGAGCCAAGACCAATGTCTGGGAAGTGAATGGGGATTTTTTTCTATTTCTTTCCCACCCCACGCACTGGGGTCTCAGCACTGGCCAAGGTTTCCTGCTCCAGTGTGGCCAGAAGCAGCCCAGACTTAGGCCACACGTGAGCCTGACCCAAGCAGAACACTGGTGACCAGTAAATACCGAAGCTCCAAGGTGCTTCCTTCAACTTATTCAATTAACAAGACCCCTGGGGGCACCCACTAAAATGACTGAGATTTTCTTTTCCTCTAGCCTGAATAGAGACCTGGAGCAGATTAAATCTGACTTAGAGGGGAAAAGAAAGGAGAGTGACATTTCTTGCACCTTAGTATTCTGAACTAAAATTCATACCGACAGCAAATACACCCATATTTGTGTGTGTATAATTGTATATATGCACATACACACATTCACACAAGTATTTTGGAAGAATGCTGAAAGGTGTGTCATGTTTTTCTTTTAATTTAAATGATTAACATAAATTTAATGTAATTTAATTTAAATGATTTAAAAGCGATAGTCTCCTTTTAAAATGGGTTTGGGAGTTTAACTCTTCTGAAATAAACCAGTCAAGAGGCACTGACTGCATTAACTCTCCCTTGACTGCTTTCTTTTTACTCCTCCCCTGTTTCCTGCTTTATCAGGGAGTTATATATATTACTGAGGGATGAAAGAAAGCCATGCTGCAGGACTTTGCCCAAGGAGTGCCTGAATCACTGGGGACCTTGAAGAGGATGTTTTTAAGTACATAGTCCATGCGTTTTGAATCGTAAACATTTCCTTTGAGGAAGACCCTTGTTTTACTGGTGGGCACACCTAGATTGGCTCATTGACTGGCATTGTGGTTCCAAATGCTCAGCTAGAGCAATTTCAGAATGGCAGGGCCTTGCTTCTCCCAAGGGCAACAGAATGGTGATGAAAGGAGCTTCCACTCTATAATCAGCAATGAAATAAAACCTCAGCTCTCTTTCAAAGTTCTGATTCTGATCATGGTTGACTCATTCTCTCAGGACAGGAAATTTACTTTCTATACTTACTCGGTACTTGACTCCACTAAACAAAGACTGAAAGCCAAAATCAACTGGGAAACACAATATGTGAGTGGAGTATATTCCTCTGCCCTCTGCTGCTGGAATAAAGCCCCTCCAACTGGGCGCTTGCTCCCTTTCTAAGGCCCAGTTACAAGTCTGCCTGCTTCTCTTTGGGAGAAGAGTTGTGGTTTTCTTCTTCCTTGGTTTCGGCCCGTGCTAAAGGTGCTCCAGGACCATAATTTAAAAGGTCATGCAATTCAAAGCGAAGGCATGGGACTGCCGCGCAATGCATCCCCTGGCACCACGTACCGTGCAGAGTTACGCAGATGCTCTTCAATCAGCGGGTTAGAGGAAAGATTGATGCAGCTGCTGTACATCTCCTAAAGAGGTGCAATTAAGAGTCATCTGAAAACATGCAACAAGCTCAGCACATGCACAGGTCTCAATAAACAGGAGGCATGCAGGAGACAGAGGACAGAAGCTTCGTATACCCTTTAAGGAGCATGGAGAACTGCTGACATAATTCTTCTACTTCTGAATGAGAGAATCCATTCAGTTACTTGGAAAAGTTTTATTTGAACAATGTAACTTTGGACATATTTAACCCAAAGGATCTGGTGTTTGGGGCACAAGTGTGACTTTTCTGGCTGAAACAAATACATGATAAAGTCCTTTATAACAAAGACAATTCACGGTGGAAAAAATATATGATTAAAATTGGTGTTCAATTAATTAGAGAGATATTAACTAAAACTTGATTTTGGTGTCACGAAAAGAATTTGGACAGTTCTTAGACCTCACTCTAATGGGGTTTTACTTTATAGCAAATAATAAATTATGTAGGTTGTGACTCTCTAGATTGCACGATGGATATTCTAGGTCCTTCCATTTTCAGAGAGTTTCACATTTTGGCTGCTACACCATTTTTTGATGGCACGGCATGCACAGAACATGCAGGAAACATTGCTTAAAAAGGTGTTCATATCTCTTATTCACTGGACTTAAACCAGATTATAGTGCATGGTTTTCCAATAAAAGCAATTATAAAATGTAGTTCATGGCACACTCTGCCATCCCCTGTGTACTAGCAAGCACTTCAGACTGTTATAGCTTCCTGATCAACACTTAGGGGCCTGCCTCATAAAACGCCGATGTGGAGGTCCCTGTGGAGTATTCATTTCAAAGGTCATTCCAAAGTTGAGTAGTTAAGTCTTTAGAAATAGAGTTTCTATTTACGTGCTATTTAATTGGGCTTGAGAATAAGCTATCCAGTCACATGAGGAGAACAAACTCTTCCTGAGGCAGAATCAGTGCCAAGGAAGGGCCTGATTTCACACTGGTCAGTAGTCTAATCTCGTAGAAAGGCTTCCCAGTCTAGGATTCCTAATACTCCAGGATCAAATTATTTAGGGAAGTTTAGGGACCAGAAGATAATCTCCTGTGATTTATTCAATCTTTTTCTCTTAGAGTATTTTCCAAAGGAAGAGCAAAGGGTATGTACTCTAAAGTGACAGATCTCATTAGAAACACACGAATTTGGCTTTCCGTGCTTCCCTTTGGAATTTTTCTGGGGATTCCCTCAAGGTGGCAAAGATCATCAATCTGTAGTGTTAGGAACAACATAATTAATTCAAAAGAAAAAAATGGATATTCTCGAAAGAACACTCACTGCCTTATTCTTTCCTTTGCTAGCAGAGCTCGTGGGATTTCCCTTGGCATCTGCTGTCTTCCTTCCAAGTGAGGTTAAGGGCAATGTGGAGGTCTTCAGCTGGTTGGCTGCCTGATAGTTATTATTATTGTTTTGGTTGCCACTTAGTGTCTCCATAATGGATCGGAAGGTTCCAAAAGGCCTTTTCAGTTGATCCCCTGATTCACTACTTGTGGAGGTCCGCTGAAAGGTCCTGCCCTTATCTCTGTCTTTCTCTCCATTTAGTTCAAGGCTAGTTTGCTCCATCTGCACCACAGGCTCCTCAAAGGTAACTCTGAGTTTCAAGTTCTGAGATGTCCGGCGCTTGGAAGATGGAGACTTGAGGGCACTCTTGGGACTCGTGGCCACTTTCTGGGCAGCAGTGCTGTCAGGGCTGGGCTGAGTGGAGTCTCCAGATGGCTGGTTTGGGGGAGTAGTCCCTGAGCCTGGACAGTGGGATTCCAAGTCTGGTTCACTGCTCTCTGAGGTGGGAGATGGGCTATGGCCATCCAGAGATTTGGAGGCCTTGATACCAAATGGAAACCTGCGTCCTGATGCCAAGGTGTGTTTCTTTATCATCAAGTGTAGGCTTTCTGCGCTGTCCATACTCTCTACACTTTCCACAATGGGCTGTGGCCTGGGCCTTTCAGCCTTTCTCACAGGTGTGCTCTTGGGGTCTTCAGAGTTGTTGGAGTCTGTGTCGGACTCACTTAGTGACCGCTGCATCAGCTGCCTCAGCCTGGCTAACTTCAGTTCTCTCTTCTCCAGAGGAATCTTCTTTGAATTTCTAGAGGAAGCCTGAGCATCCTGGAATTCCAAGGACAGCTTTTCCTGGGCACAGACATTCTCTGAGATATCTTTTCCCAGTAACTGGCGTAGGATTTTATCAGAATCTTCATCTTTTGCTTTGGCCCTAGCCCGGCTGGATGCTGACACACTTCCAAGAACCTGAATCCCCTCTTGGACTCCTGGTTTGCTTTTGGCTAAAGACTCATCATCTGCATCTGGGGATTTCCACTGGGACTTTCTGGAAGCTGGAGAGGATGGTGAACTGAAAAGAGGATGAAGGACACATGAGATGATTTCCTATTGGGTTAAAATGACTCGGTCATAAGTCATTGTATGGCCTTTACTGCCACTAATCACTTAAAAGTCAGTAAGATTGGAATAAGAATAATCACTTAACGTCTATTCAAGCAGTTTCCAAATACTCCATAGTGGTAGCCATAACCAAAGTATAGTATGCCTCATACATTATTCTATGACTACTAAATTTGTCTATGGTTTACTGTTTAAATATCAATTTTGCACATATTTTCTCAACTAATCCCATCCTCAACAACCTTATGAACCTACTTATCCTTATTCCCATTTCATAGATGAATAAACAAAATACTGAAAGAGTAAGTGACTTTTTTATAGTCATGGAATGAAGAAATGATAGCGCCACAGATAAACTCAGGTCTTCTGACTCTAAGTCCAGTGTCTTTTTCCTATGACATCTCATTTTTATTCCTCTTTATAAAAATAAAATGTTTTCTGTTGTCATATTCTTTAAAGAAATAAAAAGGAAGTCCCAAAGAAGGCTCAGAGATTAAAGATTCTTAATAACTCCAACCACTGATGCTCCTGGTATTACCTGGGTGAAGAAAGGAGTGACTTGCCCTCTGATTTCTGGGCTTCTAGAAGTTGTTGGAGCTGGTTCTGCAGTGTGACACGTTCCATTGTCTGTCTGGGAAAAAAGACCAAAACAGATGAGTTCTCTGATACATGGCTACTACTATAAATTAGTAGGTATCCGTTTTTTCATGCTAAGTTGCAATAAATCCAAAAGCTTGACTAATGTGCATAATCTTCATCCTTACAGTTCAGAAATTTTCCTCAGGATACGATCAAAAGTATCCAAAAGGATGTTTATTATTCACATTAGAGAAAACCTGTAAGTAACCTAAATGCTCATCAATAAGAATGAGTAAATAATTTATAATTATTTCTATGAAGGCAGTTATTAAAAATGGTAATATATTTGAATATTTATGACACAGAAGTTTCCCTAATATACATATATATGTGTGTATATATATATATAGAGAGAGAGAGAGAGAGAGAGACAGAGAGAGATACACATACACCTCAAAGAAAAAAATCTTGAAGGATATACTCCAAAATGTTATTTACTCTTTCTAAATTGTTTGAATTTTTAAAGTAATTGTATTAATTTAGCAATCAGAAAAAACCAAAATGAAACAAAACAGGCAAACTATTTCCATGTTGGGTAAAAACAATTAAATAACTTGGTATTTTCCTATATAAAGGGAAAACAATATATGGCAACACTCAATTTACTCTGGGCATAAAAACATGTGTACCAGAATGTGCTTTAAAGTTAAGAAAATAGGTTAAAAGCCACAGGTTACAGAAAGTGAAATCTGCTTAGAAAACACATACTATCATAAAACTTGAAAAAAGTAAATCAAACTGATTCTGACTTTACAGGAAAAGGCAGTATTTCCCGAACTCTGTAGTATTAGTGTGGTGTCCCTCAGAGATGCCCATCACATCCTAATCCCTGGAGGGGTGAATATGTTACCTCACATGGCAAAGGGAATTAAGGTTCAGAGGGAATTAACATTGCCTATCAGCTGATGTCAAAAACAGGAAGGTGATCCTGGATACTGGGGTGGGTCCAATGTAATCACATGAATCTCTAATAGTGACGAGGAGGAGCATAGGAGGTCAGAGAGACAAGTGCGAGAAGGACTCCACCTGCTGCTGTTGGCTTTGAAGATGGAAGAAGGGGCTGTGAACCAAGGAATGCAATGGCCTCTAGGAGCTGGCCATGACCCTCAGCTGACCCCCAGCAAGAAAAACTCGGACCTCGGTCCTACAACTTCACGGAACTGATTCTGCAAATAACTCAAATGAGCAGGAAGCCGACTCTCATTCTACAGCCTCCAGAAAGGAACGTAGCCTGTGGAGCCTGATTTTAGTTTGGAGACAGCCATTCTGGCTTTCTGAACTGCAGAACTGTAAGATAAACTTGTATTGTTTTATGCCACTAAGTGTGTGATAATTCGTTACAGGAATAGAAAACGAATACAATTAGCATCAAAAATGGTAGCAGCTCTCACGAGCCAGGACATGGAACTAAATGAATGAGTTACAAGTGTTCTTAAAATGACTGCCGAATCTTCAATATTGGCTTGAAGAAGTCCAGTGTTCTCCTTGCCAAGTGTCACTGCATGTACTCAACAACTGTCGGCTGCCTAAGAATAATCTTGTGAGGTCGGATTCAGACAGTACTCTTCCATCAGCCCTAAGCACTCTCTTTGTTTTTCTCAGAAGTGATCAGTCTCAGTCCTAGCATTTCATCCCCAAGACAGAGGTCTGTGATCTCATCTTATTCTGCCAGACTCACCTATTGAAAGTTGAATTGTCTATAGCGGGAGACTGCACACTTTTTCAGGAGGGGTCAGATAGTAAATATTTTAGGCTTGTGAGCCATGCAGTCTCTGTCACAACTACTCAGCTCTGCTTATGTAGCATGAAATCAGCCCTGCAAAATATGTAAATGATAGTGTGTGGCTGTGTTCCAATAAATTTTATTTACAAAAACAGATGGTCGGCTGGATCTGGCCCATAGTCTATAGTTTGCTGACTCTGGTTTAAAGAAAGAATAAAAAGCAAAAATACAGAAGAGCATTCTACTTTTCCCACTTTGCAAGTTGGTATTGCATGTCAAATTTTTAAGAAAAATACTTAGTGAGGAGCTCAAATGGATGAAGAAAGATTATGCTCTGCTTTTAAGGGGTTTATTAGGTGTCAAAGTGAATTATGACACGATCGAGAAAACTATTTGAGGGCAATTGGGTTGACTGATGACTGAAATCCCACATATGAATGGAGGAAAAAAAGACTCTATTCTCGGGGCTGGCCCCGTGGCCGAGTGGTTAAGTTCGCGCGCTCCGCTGCAGGCGGCCCAGTGTTTCGTTAGTTCGAATCCTGGGCGCGGACATGGCACTGCTCATCAAACCACGCTGAGGCAGCGTCCCACATGCCACAACTAGAAGGACCCACAACGAAGAATACACAACTATGTACTGGGGGCTTTGGGGAGAAAAAGGAAAAAATAAAAATCTTTAAAAAAAAAAAAAAAAAAAAAAAAAAGACTCTATTCTCCAGATTCTAAAGAAACCCTCAGAAGGGACTAATCGACTTTAATTACAATACATGAGCATGTGAAATAAGAATATATAAAACACATGAAAATATAAGAGCATATGCCTAGTGTATTAGTTTGCTAGGGCTGCTGTAACAAAGGGCCACAAAGTCGGTGCTCAAACAACAGAAATTTATTTTCTCAGTTCTGGAGGTTAGAAGTCCGAGGTCAAGGTGTTGGCAGGGTTGGTTCCTTCTGAGGGCTGTGAGGGAGAATCTGTTCCACGCTTCCCTCCTAGCATTTGGTGGTTTGTTGGCAATCTTTGGCGCTCTTTGACTTGTAGACATAGAACCCTGATCTCTGCCTTTCTGTTCACATGGTGTTCTCTCTCTGTGTGTCTGTCTCTGAGTCCAAATCTTCCCCTTTTATTAGGACACCAGTCATACTGGGTTAGGGCCAAGCCTAATGACCTCATTTTTACTTGATTACTTTGGTAAAAACCCTATCTCCAAATAAGGTCACATTCTGAGATACTAGAGGTTAGGACTCCAACATATTTTTTGGGGGGAGCACAATTCAACCCATAATGCCTAGGCTTGTAGACTAGGACTTCAACAGAACTGAAGGCTGTCATTTCTAAACAGTGACTATGTTTATTAACTATAAGGAGTTGGTCAAGGTATTCTAGTAAAATAAGGCACTCAAGACTATCTCCCACTCAGAATTTTAGACTGGAAAAACTCATGTTTTCCATTCTTCCTCCTGCACCTTTCTATGTTACTGGAGCCCTGGAGCATGAAAGGTACAGTGTACTGTGACAGTAGGAAGTGGATTTCTATGTTCATTTCTAGTTTTGCCAACCTTACTGAGGCACACAGTAAGTAAACGACTAGGGTCTACAATGTAACCTCTCATATTTTATCTGGTCATTGGCCTAACTGCAACTGTCTACAGCGTTCAGCTTTAGAGACAATGGAAGAACTGAAGTCTATTAGCATACATGTGTATTTTGTCTCAGGATCATCAACAGAGAGAGCAGCCAAGACGCTGACTTTGAACAGTTCACCAATAAAACAGCTATCATAGATCACGAAAGCTTCTCAGACTCCATGGTATGGAGACTGAGGAGAATGTTTTGTGATCTTTTCTCTAAGTATGAACCTTCAGAAAAAACTGTCTATTGGATCATTTTAAAGTTCCTCTTGATGCATATATCCATATGCTACCGGGGGGGTGGACATTGGTACAACATTTTTGGAAGGATATTGGGGAACATCTAACCACATTTTAAATACACGTGCCCTTTGTTCTAGCAATTCCCTTTCTAGGAACTTATTTTTAGAAATACCTATATATGTACATAAAGACACGTCTACAAGTATGTTTGCTGTGGAAAGAGAACTTACTGAGTTATGAATTTGTGTGCATTTTCCCTTCAATTCCATCCAGCCCTTCAAACTCACCTAGCTTACCTGCCCCAGGGGAGTTTTCTGCAACTGGGAGGAGGATGCTTGGAGGTACTCTCTTTAATTTTTAAGTTTTAAATTAAAAAAAAAATTTTCTAGTAAAAGCCTAAACTCATTAAAGAGAGTATTCTAGGTACTGCGAGGGGGAGGGCCAGAGGGGTGCAGAGACTGTGCCTCTAAGGCAAGAGCGAAAGTAGAGAGAGAAAGGAGGTTTCCCCAAGCTGGGAGAAGAGCCAAGGGTCCAAGGTCTTGTCATATGGTTGTGTGAATTACATTTACAATCAGTTAAGGCCTCCCACCCACCCTAGGTCTTTTTCCAAATGAGCGGTATGAGAAAAAAACCAATATTTTTAATAACTTAAAGACTTTGTATTTTTCCTCTAAAATTTAATGTTTAAGGTTTATCCTCCTAATCTGTTAACATTACTTGGAACACTGATTCCCATTTTTAGTGATCCCTCCCCACCATGGCAGTTGTAATTTGACTGGTATATTTTCCAAGGGCTGACCAGGGTCCCTTCAGCTGGACGTCAGCTCCTTAATCCTTCAACCCACTGGAGACTTACCTGATGGCCTCTCCGCTGGCCCCCTTTCTTCAAGCATATCATGACAACCTCCCAGAAATGCTTCCCTGACATCCAGCTCGGTAATGTGCACCAGTTTAATAACCTCATCAAGAAAAGAACTGACTTTCACTAGACATAGAGTGCTTTAAGCAACATCATGCTGACTGAGCACTATTTTAGATTCTGAGGATTCATGAATTGTCTGCTCAATTTTTACAATAAATTTGCTGGTGATGGTTACCAGGTTATCTGTATGTAATTTCCAAAATATTAATTTTTCTTTTGGAGAAAAGTGGAAAACTGGCCATCTCACTGGAAAAGCAGCCTTTTTCACTCTCTCGTGCTCTTTATGATTTACTAGAATATTAAGAACAGAAGTTCGGGGTGATGCCCGTGTCTGCTTTCCATGCCCTGCTATGTCATCTGGCCCTGAGATGTGAACACAGAGAGTGGCTCTCTCTCCTTGTCCACCAGGCTTAAATTCCCTGCTTAGGAAGCTTGCTTGGCCTTTTTTTGTTTAAATCTCATTTGCCTCTGCAGAGATGGCTTCTCCAGCGTGAACTCCGGCCTTGAGGACTTGGGATGGAGGAATAAAAGAAGATGAGGAGGCTGCTAGGAATTCCCCAAACAACTGGTGTGAGGGGAGCTTACCAAAGCACTTGGCTGAAACCTCAGTACAACGATGACTTTGTTCTCATGGAACGAATATGCCACTTACTCCTTTAGCTGCTTGGTTAGCTTCACCACTTGAGAGGCCAGTGACATGCAGGTCTCCACCACCACCAGGTACCGGGAGCACAGGGTGTGCCCATGGCGCTCAGCACTCTGGGAGGGCTTTTCTCCCACGTGGTTCTGCATGGTGACATTTGCTCCATATTCAACCAAGGTCTGTCAGAAGATGCAGAGACGTGATTGTATCAAGAGCTCTCTCTAAATTTTACTTTTTAATGACTGCAACAGAAGGTTGAATGGAACTTTTCCTGTTATTCCTAACCCAGGTAGTAGAGCCAGGGGTGGGTGAGAGCCCATACGAAAGAGAGGCTCTGTGAGCTTTCAGCAGTCGGTATCAGACACTTCCCTTCAGGGCCTACAAAGACGTGGCAGAACCAGTCCAACTACTGACAATCCCACCCAGCCTCAGAAGGAGACTAGGAAGGGGAGGAGCCTGCTGCTGTCCTGAGGGAGCAGTGTCTGGGTGAGATGCTTTGTTTCTTTCCGTGGGGGGTTTATAAAGTTGGGGGTGCCTGTAAGAAGGGGAGAGTGGAATTTTGTTTACCTGTTTCTATCTGCTTGGACAGCACACTTGATCTCTTGCTGAGCCTACCCAATCAGGAATAAAAGAACTGGAGAGAAATGACATGGCAGAGGCTGTGAAGCAGCCCACACTCCCACCATGTATCATGGCAAGGATATAACCTGTGGATTGAGCAGACGTTGTCGAAGGGAGCTGGGGGTGAGCTTGTTATCACCCTACTAAAATGGAGAGGGTTCTGCAGCAGCAGGAGGTAGTGTGGTGCAACACAGGTGGAGGGAACTGTATGGGGGAGGAGGGCATAAGGTTGGGGACAGATCTCCCACATCAGGTATCAGTGGGGAGGCTCCAGATGGTCCTCTGAAGACTCCACCCACCACACCCACCAAAGAGTCAGCATCTGAAGGCTGCCACAGAAGGCACCAGCGGCAAACCATAGGGAGCCAAAGAAGCAATTGCAACTTGCAGGGAGAGTGCCATGACCTTTCCCAATTAAGCAAAGAGACAGTTGATTACTTTCTCCGGGACCTCCTCTTTGTCCCCAACGTTGGAGCCCAGAAGAAAGAGGAGAATAGGTGCTAACATGATGTATAAAAAGATGATTATGCCTCGCTCTGCATGCTGAGTCCCTTAAATCCTGAGTCTAACCTGGGTTGAGGAGGAGAATGCTTTGAATCAGAAATAAGAACTGAGATTTTAAACTGGTTTGGAGTAAATGTTAACAGTCAAAAACAAGCAGCAAGTTATGGGATCTGGCCAAAATATCATTAATAGAGGAGAGAGAGAGATTTGATGGAGCATGGCTGACCCATCATTAATTAAAAAATAATCAAAACTCTTTTGTATTTATGCTGTAATGACATTAGATTCCACAAAAAGGTCTTACATCAATATTAATCAACTGTCACAATCTGACATATTCTTTGACACTCTCAAGATGCGAATGTAGACCTCTGGATTTATTTTAGTAAGAGGTAATATGTTTTCCATAAGCAATACTTGTAATTTTTAAATTCCTAGACTATTTAGACGCAGAGGTCATTAACAAGCTTCATTTTCCTTTTGGTTTATGATCACTCACCATGAAAGGTCAATCTGCCATAAAGCCATTGCCACCCCCCTCACAAGAGTGTCACAGAGCCCACCTCAGCCTCTAGCTCTCCAAGAGACTCAGTGTACACACATTGTTATTGCTCCCCTGACTCTGGCCTCTGCACTTTTCTTTCCAATGTTTTCCATACTCAGTCCCCTCCTCACCTCATAAAGGCCCTTGCTACCCCGCCTTCTACTTGCAGTCTCTTTGTATCTTTTTTTTTTCAATCTCACACCCAGTGGATAGACCCGCTTCCAAGATTATCCAAGTTTCCACATCCATGGATCTAGTGCCAAAAATATCATTTGTGTTAAGTGGAGTGATGAGTGCTCTGAAAGGACAGATCACCTCTCTTCATATATTAAAAAGAAAAATAACAGAAATCTCAAACAGAATTAGGGGTATCAGCTGGTTTTCTTTGGCTTTCAGTCATTTATTAGCTAACAAAAAAAAGTTTATTTCAAGACTTAGATATAGAGTGTTTTGTTAAACGGAAAAATGAAGTTTTCAGCTTTTATTCAATTATTTTTCCTCCACAAAAAATAATTCTATTCCTTTCATCTTTCTGTAGATCCTGGTAATAATTCAATTTTCTCTCTTTTCTATAGTCTCCAATTTCTCATTGCTCCTTTTACAGCTTGGTGCCCTAAATTAGAAGACGCATGCTTTGCCAACAGTAGTGGGGAAACTTTCAGACATTTGGAATCTTTCCTGTCAACTGAGCTCTCCTGAGAGCAGTTGTATGCGAGTAGACACTGTAGAGAGCTTTCTGCTATTACCTCTGCTTTTTGGTTTTGTTAATTTCTTGCCTTTACTTTCACAGCTTTTCTATATATTATCCTGTCATTTCTTGAGTCTCCTCTACCTGCCTGAGCAACTGGTCTCACTTGCTCCAGCTTCTCTTTCAGATGATCTACCTAGCACATAGTAGGATGTCGGTAAGTACTTAAATAAATGAGCACGTTGAGTTTGCAATAAAAGAAACAACATATAATAAAGCAAAAATGAGTGCTGCTTCCCTAGAGTTGTTATATACACATAACGTATTTTGAACTTTATGAACTTGGTGAGATAAAAGCACTTTCTCTAATCATGGCCTTCAGCCATATGTTATCAATGACCCTTTCCCACATCTCAGGCAGATGTGGGAATAAATCCAAAGATGTTGGGTCATTTTCAATGATCAGAATGGTGCGATTGGTCTGATTCTGGTAATTACGATTTCTGTTCATAAATTGCATTCCAGGCCAAATCTAAACCTTGTTTCCAGTTCAAAGCCTGTCCTCTCCTCACACTGTCACTCCTCTTTTATCTGCTCTTCCTCCTTCTCTTTGGCTAGCCTCTCTCTTTGCTTTGTGACGAGGGTTTCAAAATTTTTCTAGGTGAAAAGGTCTATCCAATCTTTACATTCACATGTGCCCCAAACTTCTGGGGCCCCTCACTGTGCTCTCCCACCCCGTGCTGTTATGACGGCGGCAATGGCTTTGGCTCAGCCTCACAAAGCTCTGTCTTCAGCTGAGGGATGAGATGCAGACTCTTCTTGTAGGAATGAACCCCACGTACTCTAGGTAGCCCCCTTGGAGTGCCCCCTCAGGTGGCTTGGGGCAAGGGAAAGAACCTCCCTCCCCTCTCCTGGGCTCTGCTTTCCAACCTTTTTACATCATTGCACACATAGAACTTGATAATATTTGTAAGGCATGTTGGGCTAAAAGGATGAGGCCGCCTGAGGCTGGTGGGTGGAGTGGCTGGCCAACCAAGGCCCTGCCCAACCTGCCCAAGGGCTGAAGGGATCAATATCTAAGGCCTCCATGTAATCAATTGTGAGCATTTTCAATGCATTAGAGAAGCTCAGCCTTCCTATAGAGAAAGGAAGAAACCCACAGTACTCTCTCTCTAGCCTACTATGCCCTACTCCGAAGACTTCTTCTAATCCATTCTTGAAAAATCTGTCCTGTTTTTCATACACCTGGAATGAGAAGCATGCTAATGATAGCAAGAATCGTCTTCCATTTGAGAAACTGAGAGATGTCAGTCTGGTGGTTTCCTGCTGTCTGGAGAACATGGGGGTACTTAATATCTATTGTTCTCAGCATTGGGATCTTAGAGTAATGCTGAGAAAGCAGGAATAGGCCCTTTCAACACCCTGTGACATTCAAGGAAAAACTTGTAGGGCTATTTATGCCTCTGTCTGTGTGGATTTCTGGAAATGCAAATATACTAATATAATTCCTTATTGTCTACCATAATAAAAAAAGCTGATTTAATTCAGACATTCTCCCAGTGAACAAAATTTCCATTTTTTTTGTTTTATTACTTAATAAACTCATTTCTCTCTTCAAAGAAGCAAGGCTTGTATACCTGTATGCACCCGAGGTAGCCATGCTGTGAGGCTACGTGAACAGCGCTGTTGCCATCCTGGTCCACTTCATCCAGCGAGATGCCCTGTTCTTGCATAAACTGAAGAAGCCACAGAAGAATCTTTTCCTATAAACACAAAGACAGTTAAAGTTAATGGAATATCATGTAGAGAAGTCTAACGTAAAGACAGAGGAAAACAAAACTCCAACATTTCAGCTTAGATGTAACCAAGCTTACCACATCAAGAGAAAATTCCCATTCAGCATGAACTGAAAATCCATGAATCTCAGACTGAAGCCAATGAAAGAGGAACACTCAGAGCATTTTAAGGGCAGGAAGTTACCTCAGAAATGCTCTTATTACTTACGTATTCTATAGATGAAAATTGACTCACCGAAAGTTTGAGTACCTCCTCAAAGTCACACAGCTAGACAGATCCTGAGTTAGAACCAGAATCCAAGTCTTTTGATTCCAAGGCAATGTTTTTGCTACTTTGTTACACTGTCTGTAGGCTTCAGGAATGTTATAACACCTCGCACTATTGGGATAAATTAGCTTCTACTTTTAAGTTTGTAATGTTTCAGTCATGCCATCCTAATTCCACAACTCCTGCAATCAACAGGCTTATAAAAAGAGGCATCACCTTAAGTTACCAAATATAAGATAATGTCACTGAAATAAAACCAGGACCTTCTTGATTTTTCTGACCAAATGGGGGTGGTGTTTTAAAGGTAAAGCTTTCTCTTCTCCCGTGTTAGAGGGAGGGCACCCAAAGTTCTGAACATAATCTTCCAAAAGCAAAGACCCAGAGCATTCACTGTGTGTTGTCATAATCTGTTCACATTTTACCCACTGAGTCTTTTGTGGTATTTTCATGTTATGTTTGGCCCCTGGAGAAGGCAGGGGGATGGGATTTCACTGTTTTAAAATAGAAGAATTAAATATAATGTTAAAAAAATATGAGAGTGGTAAAAACAACAGCATGAAGTTTAGTGGGTGGAATTTGACATTTAAAAAGAAGATCATGCGTTTGAAATAGGGTTGAACCTCTTCTTAGCCTTTTAAAGGATTTTTTTCCAGTTATTTGCTCGGACTGGTCATGAACTTTTATACTTTTCTGGATTAAATTTGCCTTCACCTTCTTAACATGCCAACTAATCTGCTAAAGGAATGTTGGATGAAAACAGCCAACTCCTTTAATGTTTCACTGCTCATATAGGGAACAGGGCACTGTTTATGGAGGCATCTGTGACATCAGGGACAGACTGAACATTTGCTCCACACTTTTTCCACATGAGCAAGCAGGGATTAAGACCCCAAAAGAGTAAGAAGGGGAAAATGTAATTGATGCGCACAATTTATGGAGAATACACCAAGGGAAAGCAGAGTGAGTGTGAGCTGCAAAAGCAGACAGACTTTGGAGAAGTGAAACGCACAACACCCTCGGAGAATGAGGTGGAGCAGAGCCTGGCAGCCAGGGCTGGGAGTTAGAATCTGTGTAAGGAGATGCTGATGAGCTTAATCCTCTTCTCCAGAGGCAAACTTGGAGAAAGTTGGGGCTATTTGGACCACAGCAGGTGATGTTTCATATCCTTAAGATACAACAACTTCTTTGTTTTTCCTAGTTAGGTAGGGGAAAAAACTGAATTACTTTTATTTGGAGACAGATGATTACACCATGTGATCTCCACTCCTTAAAAGATCTGGGAGAGGAGATGTATCTCAGGACAAAGAACATAACAAACTGGTTTAAAGTCAATGGCAACGACACTGAAACATCAAGAGGGCAGGTTGCTGTGCCTCTACCAGCGACAAGAACAACCCTGCCATCTTCAGTGGGTCATTCTCAAGCTTGTGGTGACTTGGCTTGATCCATGATATTAAATCATGGAAACTTAAAATTGCAGAGTGGGAGACATTTTAGGGAATCATCCAATTTAAACACCCATATTTTACAAATCAGAAAACTGAAGAAGGCAACTGTATATTCTCTGATATTCTAGCAGTTTCTTTCTTCCGCAAGTAAAGTTCAGAGGAGTTTAAGAGATTTAGAAATATTTTCTATGTACCTTCTTGTCAGGCATATTTTCATATTTTTCAGATCTAATTAAATATTATAGTGGATATGTCTACTACACATGTGCAGAAAACGCCTTTTACTATAATTCACAGTGTTTTGACTTTTAGTAATGGCATTGTAGGAAATGGAATACTGAGTTTCATAAGACTGACAATTTTCCCCTTGTAGAGTTCTGGGGAAGAATCTAGAGACCTGGACTTTGCAGGGGCTTGGTAATCTGGGAGAGCAGGACAAGGTCTGTGTGTGACAGGAGTTGCCTTGGCTCCTGATCGCTCTCCAAGTCAGGTTAAGTCCACATTGTTTAAGTGACCTGTCTTCTTTTCCTCTGATGGCATGGATAACTCTTTCTTCCTTCCAATTAAAGACCTTACCCAATTCAATATGCAAGACTTACATAAAGAACCTTTATTCTATTGCTCAGAACAAGACAGGTCTTTGCCCAGCGCCTCAAATTCAGTTTTGTGTTCTGCAGTGGACACTTTACTTTAATAAGAAGCTATGCAACTAGCCTGTCCACTGAGATATATGGAAACAAAAATCTCCCCTATGAGATTGTGCAGAGAAGAACTACCAAAAGGGACTGGCTGACTATACACCTGGTCTAATAACCAACATTTAGGATTTCTGAAATAGACATGGAGATGGCTAGAATGCCCTGGTTTTGGTAAAAGCATATTTAGCATCCACTCTCAGAGAAATGCTGCTTTCTGCTCTGATTCTGGAGAACATGCCAGGAGAGATCACTGTCCAATTTAAACAGTGACTTGAAAAATATCTAGTAAGGAGAACAGATAAATGAAGCTATTTTCTCCAACTAAAAAGGCACTTACAAATGCATATGTTTATTATATATGCAACGGTGTCCACCTCCCCTCTTAGACATTTAGTGCACTCTCTCTCTCAGTGTGATTGTGTGTTTGTGTTTGCGTGTGTGTGTGTGTGTGTGTGTCAGGGAGGAGATGTTAAAGGAAGAATGTAACTTCAGATGTTCATTTTCCCATAAATATTGCTTTCAGAAAATATCCAATTCAGTCATATGGATGGAGAGGCTCTTCCGTATTATTTCTGTTTCCCAGAATGCCTCTCTAACTCACATTCCATCCATCCACTCACACAGTCATCTATCCATTCAGCTTTCATCTATTGACTGAAAACTTCCTTCATATCCCAGTTTCCTCTTCCGAGGATTTTCTGCTCTTTTGGTAACCTGTTTTAATGGTCTATGTTGTGTGTTCTTAAGGCAATCTAATTTGTTTAAAGAGGCAATTAATACATACAATTTATGAGATTTGCTGGATGAAGTATAAGAAAAAATGTAATTGAAAAGTATGCAACAGATTTATGACTGGTATCAGTAAAATCTCTACAACCATAAGTTCCAAAGGAGGCAGCTTTGTCTGCCATCACAGATCATCAAATCTAACACGCTATCAGTTGTAAGATCCATTCCATTTTTTGAGATATTAAAATATTAAAAATGGTCAGCAATAATTTCATAACGTCATTTATTGTACAATAAATGTAGAATCCAGAGATAGTAAAATGTGAAAAAAAAGTACATCTAAGAATTGATTAAATAGGTTAAGGCCTAAATAATTCTTTGCCAGGTTTCTCTTATACTTTACTTATAGTGAAGTAAAAAAACTAAATAATATTGATAGCAGTAAAAAATAATAAATTGGAAGATATACAACAATTATAAAAGCAAACATTTATCTAGTGTCTACTATGTGTCAGCAACAGGCAACACCTCATGTGGCTTTTCTCATTTAGTCCTCCGAACAACCCTGTGAGGAAGGTCCCATTATCTCCATTTTAAAGATGAGGTCCAGGGAGACCTTTTCTTTTTTAAAAAAATAAACGTATCCAAAGCCACTGAGTTGGTAAGCGGTAGGGCCAGGATTTAAACCCAGACAGCCTCACTCAGGAGCCAGTGTTCTCCATGACTCTGTTTTCTAAGTATGAATATCCACAACTGTACAATGCCCCGTGACCCCTGCCTCTGTAAAGGACACGCTCTTCTTGCACCCTTTGGGTCACAGAAATCACAGTTAACTGCTCATTAGTCTGTGGGTTTGTGGAGCTTTGTTGGTTATGCTTTTTCAAAGATCAGTCCTTAGAGAGCAGATGCATGCTCAATGCTAATCAAAGATTTTTCTATTTGCGGCACTTTCAGTGTTGTTTACTAAATTCTATCCCATGACAGTGAAACAATATAGTCCATAGAATAGTTCCCCTTTTTAAAGTCAACTGTGGAAAAACAATAACATGCAACCTGTGGAAGCATCCCCCTTACCAGCATGCCTATCGCTGTGCATGACCATTGGTAAGAATTGTTGAGCATTTTCTCTTTTCAAAAAGTGCCTTTTTTTTTTTTTTTTTGGTCTGTATCAGGGTAGATATTTAAAATGGGGAATGAACAAGACAGTGTAGGCAAAGGTACTCTTGGTAAATGCTCAATGCTATGATGGAGGTTGTTTTTGTAGCAGAATCTCCTGACCAAAAGTCACATGAAGGATTCATAAACAAAATGGTCCTAGGTTTGAAGCTGAAAGTAACACAGAGCCCACTGAGCCAATGACCAAGGCAGAACAGGCCGAAGCCCCCAAGCAGCCGAGGCCAAGAGCTTTGCTGGAAGCATGGACAAGACCGTTTGAACCTTCAAGCTCGAATAAAACAGGCCAAGTTACACAGGCGGTAGCTTTGGCTTGAGACAATTCTGTCTCAATTGTTTCACCAGCAACAACTCTCTCAAGGGACAGCAAAGCAAGCCTATCGGAGGACACTTTCTGCTTCTTCCTTGAGTCTCCCCAGGGCTTTCCCCTTCACGCTCCCTCTGGCTAGTTCTGCTAGGTATGATCAGGCAATGAAATAATTGCACCCTCTGAGACTTCATGTGTCAAGATGAGGAAAATCAATTCTTTTCACCCAAAGATCTGTCACTCCAGGAGACCACTAAAAACTGCTGGCTACTCTGTGGTACTGGAGTCTTTAAAGGTAATTTTTACAGGAAAAAGGATACAAGTAGGGAGTCAAATGGAGCCTATTCTTTAAGAATCTATATGAGGGGCAGAGTGCAACTAAAATAAACCAAGAGAGGAATTTTCCACTGTACTATCATTTCCAGAAGTATTTACTGAAGAAACAAAACCAGAACACACTCAAGTGCCTGCTTGATGTAGAAAAACTTGCATGTGCTGAATCCATTAGAAAACTGTTCAATAACAGTCTTCCTTGTGAAAATATTAGCCTTGTAATGGTTCCAAGTTCAGCATCTCCACAGGTTATCTGTTACATAAGTGGCTGTAGCGGATGTAGGATGGCTGGACAGAATTCGCAGTTCTAATGGGCTTCTCCATTTTCCACTTGGGTAGGAATGCTCTCCTAAGGGCAGTGCTGGACTACTCTGCTCAAAGCTGTACTTCAGGTCATGAAAAATGCTTATCAGCTTGAAACAACAATCTGAAGACTGATACTAGCATGAAACAAATGTTTGACACAGCTCCTCACATAGGTCACTCATTTCCATATTTTTCTCTAGTCCAGCCAAGTAAGCCACACTATCACCCAACCAGTCCTAGAAAGGGAATTTTCTTTTGTTCTGTCCTAATAGCTTCAAAATTATGAGAAACCTGCTGTGATAGTTGAATAAAGAAACTGGCACATATAAGCAACATTTCCCAAGACAAAGAATGCCGGATGCCCAGTTATTTACTTAGAGTCTCAGAACAGCAATGCAATCCATTCCTCCTTTTCTTTGGCAAGCTCTAGCAAAAGCGCAGGCAGCCTTTCCATGGATATCTAAAATTCCTCATTAGACTTTATATAAGCAAATGAAATCAGAGACATGAAACAATTATTCAGACAACTTGAGAATAAAATTCCATTTTATACTGAAAATGATTTATGAAAGTCATCAAATGATTAAATTCCTTTGGTCATTTGAAAATTCTATTCTCTCCTTTGCTAGGATAAGCAAAAAGGAGCATCCTCTGCAAATCCTGATTAACTATTATGGTTGTTTGTGGGCCACCATGGCTGAGGCTCATAAGTACAATGCACAAATAAAACGGAGTAATCTTTTCAAAGACAGTGGCTTTTACAAATTTTAAATGTTCTTCCCGTTCCTTTCTTCATTTCACAAATTTAGTATAGGTATTCACTTCTTCAATGAGCTGTTAAGGTACTCTACATATCACAATGTGTTAGATAAAATTGTACAAAGTCGTCTTCAGCTATATGAATGCCACTGTAAACAAGCTATACAAATTATCTACTCAGATAGAGACCAAACAGAATCTGGCCTTGAAGTCAGAGGACCTGAGTTGAGATCCAGCCTTTGCTCTTACTGGCCATTAGACAATGTGCAAGTCACTTAACTTTCTTCAGTCTCCTCATCTATAGAATGAGGATAAAAACAACAGGATCTAATAAGGTTGCTTTAAGGAACAAGTCAGATGATGTACACAAAATCCAATGGCATGGTGGTTGGCACATGTAGAAAACAGCATATATTAATATATATATTAATCGAAGTTACCACTGTACAAAAAAACTATCACCTAACATGACTCCTGCTAAAGAACCACTGTGGTAATATTCTCCAACTCTATTTTTTGAACTTGAGATTGTCATGCTTGAAAAAGCATAATCTCTTGTTGACAATACCACAATTTACTGCCACTGGGAAAGTTTATGAAGCCAAAGGGGATACGGTTATATGCATGAGAAGCAATTTTCTTTGCCACAAACAAATTTTAATATAGTGCTGACTTTATTTTTTTTCAGACTGAGATTGGCATTTTGTGGTTTCAATTTTTTTTAAAGATAATTTATACTCATCCCCCTCAAAGGGAGTTAGTGATGAGTTTTTTACTCCACACACTGGATTGTGATCTGCGTACATCAGTGACTCACACTGGCATTTCCTAACGTAGAAATTGGTTGTAACTGAGACCCATCTAGTTAGTGTGCCTACTCATCTTTAATAGAGGGAGACTTCCTTGATTAATGTCTTACTAAAGATTTTTTTCTTAATTTGGGGTTCAAGCAATTTATCATTTTTATTTTTGACACAAGTTCAATATGTTCATTGTAGAAAATTTGAAAAATATTGAAAAATACAAAAGGAAAATATAAGCCACTTGTAATTCCATTCTTAGTGATAGCCACTATAAACATGTTGTGACTTTTTTTTCTAGTCATTATCTATTTCTCTTTCTCCAAAATTCAAATCTGGTACCAAATTACAGGAACAGTTTTATTTATTTATTTATTTATTTATTTATTTATTTATTTATTTATTTTTTTGAGGAAGATTAGCCCTGAGCTAACATCTGCCACCAATCCTCCTTTTTTTGCTGAGGAAGACTGGTCCTGAGCTAACATCTATGCCCATCTTCCTCTACTTTAATGTGGGACGCCTGCCACAGCATGGCTTGACAAGCGGTGCCATGTCTGCACCGCTGAAGCAGAACGTGTGAACTTAACTGTTCCACCACTGGGCAGGCCCCTAACAGGAACAGTTTTGTATCATACATTTAACTTATTATATAATGAACAGTTTCTTGTAAATTCTGTCATATGGATATAGCTTCATTATTTATCTAATATCTTCCTATGAAATATTTATGTTGTTTAAAACATTTTTTCATTAAAAAATATTTCAACGAGGGGCCGGCTTCATGGCCAAGTGGTTAAAGTTCCGTGCGCTCTGCTTCGGAGGCCCAGGGTTCACAGGTTCGGATCCCGGGTGCAGACCTACTCCACTCCTCAGCCATGCTGTGGAGGCATCCACATACAAAGTAGAGGAAGATTGGCGCAAATGTTAGCTCAGGGCTAATCCTACTCAAGCAAAAAAAGTGGACTGGCAATGGATGTTAGGTCAGGGTGAATCTTCCTCACATACACACACAAAAACTTCAGTGAATATGATTGCTTATAAATCTGATAATTAAAAATTCTTCATACCTGGCCAAAGCAACCTGCGTAGTGAATAAGGCTTGGAAAATCCTTAGAACAACTCAATTCTGCAATGGCTTCTGTTTCACTCACCATCCAGCGTACACACTCCAACTGACCATTCTAGATTTGAAAAGAAAGAAATTCAAGGTAATTCAGCTTTGAAAAATACCTCATAGATGGTAATTTTATCAAGGGAAGACATCACATGAATTTTGGCTTTTATATCTGGCTTAATTTATTTACAATATAAATATATCACCTATTATAGTTCTGATTTGTGGTTTTGGCTCTAAATCAAAAGCAGAATTTTTGCTTAAATAGGTTTTCATAGTTTTAATCAGTTATTTTAAAATCACTTTATTGAGCTATAATTTGAATACTATAAAATATATCCTTTTTAAGTATACAGTTTGATAAATTTTGACAAATATATTATACTGTCTTGTAACTACAACTCCAATCAAGACATAGAATATTTCCGTCACCCCCCAAAACTTCTAGTACTCCTTTGCTCTCATCCCTGCCACCTCTGCCCCAGGCAAGCACTGATATGATTTCTATCACCATAGAATAGAGTATGTACTCTTTTGCATGTGGCCTTCTCTACTGCTTCAATCAACAGTTTATTCCTTTTTATTGCTGAGATGTATTCCATCATATGAACATACCACAATTTGTTTATCCATTAACTCTCAGAATAAGCTTTTTCCCTTGAGAAGTTGAATGTTAGGATTCCAAAATAAAGAGAAAATAATCCTATTATACTGGCTCAGATGCTACCTTCGCTGAAGCTTCTGATTTGTTGTTATAATAGCTTCCCTGACTCCACGCCCCCAGGAGCTCTTTTCTCGTGTGCTGCAATCCCACACTGTGCAAACCAGGAAGGCAGTTATGACCTATATAACCTAGTGAGTAAGACCCGGACTTCGGAATGGATTTAAATCCATAATCCACCACTTGGTTACAAGATTTTGAACAAGTTAACTTACCTCTCTGATACTCAATTTTCTCATCTGTGAAACAGCAAGGATAGAAGTAACTACCTCATAAAGTTACTGTGAAGATCAAATGAGAGAAAGCATGTCAGCTTACTAAGCACACAATACTTGTGACCTTAAACTGTTTGAATGCTCTCTTAGAGCCTCACAATAACTCCATAAGACAAATGAGACCTTCAACTGTCTTCCTGGTCTGCACAGTGTGGGACCTTAGCACAGAAGAAAAGAGCTACTGCATGCATAGAGTCAGGGAAGCCTATTGTAAAGACAAGACAGAGGAAGTGATCTCCTCATTCTTCACTTACTCCTATGGAATTTCAAGCAGTTAACTCCCAACTATTCACATGCAGAGTCTATTCTCTCCATTTGGGGTATCTAGCATGATCAGGTGTGTGCTGAATAGCTCCCTGATGCCCCATTCAGATAGATCTTCTCCCTTCTCTGCCCTCCTTGCTGCCAAGGGAGGCTGATCATTATGGACTGGCCCCCTTGCCCCTGGATTCTGGCTGGGTTTGGTTAATGGAGAGTGGTGGCAGGAGACCAGGAAAGGAGAGTGATTTTGAGGTCCCCTCTGCTCCTGGCTCCTTATTAAGGGGTTGCCACTGGCCAGCTCAGTTCCTCCACCAGTAAAAGGTCAAAAGTCAACCAGCCCTATTCAGCTCTCTCCCTCTCAGGTCCACCCACCTTCGTTTTGTGTATGAAACCTTCATCATCGACCTTCCTTACATTACTCAATTTGAGCATGCCAGGAGTTGCTTGGTTGATTTTCTCTATTGTTTTCCTATTCTCTATTTCATTTATTTCCACTTGAATTTTTTAATTTCCTTCCTTCTGCTTACTTTGAATTTTAGTTTGCTTTTCTTTTTCTAGTTTCCTAGGGTAGAAGTTTAGCCTATTGACTTGAGATCTTTCTTCTTCTTTTTTTTAACATAAGCATTTACAGCTACAGATTTCCCTCTCAGCACTACTTTAGCTGCATCCTTAAATGCTGGTATTCACATTTTCATTTTCATTCATCTCCAAATATTTTCCAATTTCCCTTGCAATTTCTTCTTTGATAGAATGATTATTCTGGAGGGTGTTAATTCCATATACTTGTGAATATTCCAAATTTCCTTCTGTTACTGATTTCTAATTGCATTCCATTATGGTCAAACGACATACTTTGTATTTCAGTCCTTTTAAATGTATTAAAATCTGTTTTATGGACTAACATACGATCTAGAATGTCCCATGTGCACTTGAGAAGAATGTGTATTCTGCTGTAGAACATTCTGTTAGGTTTAGTTATTCAGGGAAGCAACATTTAAACAAACAAAATTTTTGAAAAACTATGAATTTGAAAGCAATATCATTTGCAATAAATAGAAACACCAAGAAAACAAAAACTGTTATTAAATTATGGCAGACTTTTGCCTGCTGAAGTCTCTGAACCTGGGGTCAATCACTGTATGTTAAAGGGGAAGGTCAGTAGGTCATGTGTTTGAAGTAATTTTCTCACCAAACCAACATTTTATCTTTGATCTTAATCAGAAGGACTGAATGAGTATGAAAAAGGAATTAACGTTGTTTCATTCCAAGTCTGTCTAGCTCCTAAAATAATTTCTTGTACTGGCCTCATTTTAGAAAACTCACTGCTCTCACCTGATAGAAATCTTTCTTTCCAATTCTTTTGCTTAACTATTCCCAAAGGGCACTCAATAATGCCCTGAACTCCCACAGTATCTAGTGTTGGGTGCCCCAGAAAACACTTGATAAATTCTGCATGTAACTGGCAAGAATTTATTATGTTCTATTTAAGGAGTTTGAGAGATGGAGAGAGATGTTCTTAAGCCTTGGTATGACTTCAAAGGTCCTTTTCTAAGGTAATCTTTATTTGATACCCTATCTCTGCTTCCTGTCAGCCAAGCCATATTATCTGAGCAACTTCTGCCCATTTGTACCAAGTTTGTTTGTCTTTAATGACAGCAGGGCTCTCAGAACTATGCTTAATGAGGTGAAACACCACCAGTCAGTTACTGGTGTTCAAAACAAGGTCCTAAAATGGAAGAATGATGACTTCTTAGGACCCCTCAACTGTATCAATATCCATCAAAATACATGGTCTGAGGCAGGACGTGTATCAGGACAGATGTCCAAAAGGGGTGGCACTTGTTATAAAATATTTGTACTTACTGCCATTGTAAATTCTAGATTAAACGAAGGGAAAGAAGAACACTTCCATTTCTCAAATCATTGTCCAGAAGTAACGCATGAAAAGCCTGAGGCCCCAAATCTATAAAAGCTTTCGAGGTTTGATATGAGTTCTTATGGTTCTTATGGGTTTGATTTGTATTCTTCATTAAAACAAACAAAAAAAATCTGCTGTTTAAGTTTGCATGTTGATTATATGATGGCAATACTATGTTGACTGGAGGAGTTTAAAAATGAATGAACACTTAATATAGATACCGTAGAAAGAGTTTATACTCGGGGCTGGCTTAATGACAACTAAGTTCTTGCATATCTTCCTACTTTGAAGATTCTTTTTTTTTTCCGCCTTTTTATATAAATTTTAATTTATTTTTACAGCTTTGTTGAGATTTGATTGACATATAACATTATGTACATTTAAGGTATACAATGTGTTGATTTGGTACACTCATATATTGCAAAATACTTACCACCATTGGATTAGCTAACACATTTATCACATGGTATAATTACCATTCCTTTTCTGTGGTGAGAACATTTAAGATCTATTATCTTAGTAACTTTCAAGTATATAATACAGCATTATTAACTATAATAGCCATGCTGTACATTAGATACTCAGAACTTAATTATCTTATAACCAGAAGTGTGTACTCATTGACAAACATGAAGATTCTTAATCTATCAAAACAAGCACATAAGGCATAAATATTAAGAAAAACACTTTTTCATCCAACTATGCAGTTAAAATATATTTTATATATATATTCTACCATTAGTCAGGAAAACTTAATATAAATTATAAGTTATAAGTATTTTATAAACACTAAAATGGCAAGGCAGATGTCAACATTCATTGGCATTGCAAGAATATTTTCTTCATCACTAACACATGCCCACTGATGACCAGATGCAACCCCTAGCTTCCCACAGGACTCTGACAGAGGACTAGATCCTGAATTTGCCATCCCGCACTTGCATTACTGATAACTTACCTGCTATAGCCACCAGGCTATCCACTCCTTAAGAAAAGGGACTATGCCTCATTCAAATTTGCATTTCTGTTGCCTAACACAGTACCTGGTCAACAGTACACATTATTAAACTCAACTATGCTAAACTTTGACTTCATATTTGATTTCTCTTTCTTCATGATGGCTGTCTGAAGTTCAGCTCTTAATTTGACATTGATCATTCACAACTCAAAGAAAACTATATTCACCAGGGTCATAGATTTTTTACTTTATAAAAAAATGTTATTTTCTATACTATCTTTGAAATAATACCTATCATTGAGTAAAATTAAATAAAACAGAAAACAATTTTTTAACATACACAACTGTACTGAATAGTAAATAGATCAAAGAAACAAAAATTCATATTTGCATAAAAGATATACTGGGAGTAGGACAGCAATGGCTTGTTTTTAAAATGTAACATGTTCCTTAGTGAATTTATGAGTAGATTTCTTTAACTAGCAAGTTCCCCTGGTAAATTTCAATATAATTCCATTTATAAAAATTATAAATATTCATCTTTTAGAAGGTATGACTATTATGTAAAGCAAAGTACATATGCAGAAGCACAAAATGTATTCTATTTCCCAGAACTTCACTCTGGCTTTCTACTAACTTTGCCTGAATTCCACATTTATTTGCCAAAGATCTTAAAAGTAATTTTAGTTTAATAGCTAACCTTCTAGTGATGTGTTAGATTTTACAGAGGCACTCACTGCAATGCTATAAAAGACCATGTTTTCCTGTGTCACAGTTTCTAGGTTTTAACTCTATCCCAGTTGGCATTCATTTATGTAGTTTCTGACAGACAGCATAGTGCGCTAACAGCTAAACTCAGACTCTGCACTGATATTCTAAACAACTCCTGATACTGAAAACATTTAATCCTCCAGTGTGATCCATTAGAAGCCCACTTTATTACCTGAAATACTCCTGAGTGCTATCATCCCTGAAAATACACCTTTTCCTCATTTGTCTAGCTCATTATACTCGCATTAGGAAAAAATGAAACAGTCCTGCAAAGAGCCAGGTGTGGTTAAGAATCCAAATTGCAGTCACCATGAATAACAAAAGGTTCTTAGAACCACAACAGGTCATTTTCCTTTCTTTATTAAATTATTTGAAGCTTACTCTCATTGCACAATAAATTGGAATGAAGTCTCAAAATCTCAAAGCAGTTAGGGACTGAAATAATTAATCTCTTAAATGTAATATGTTCATTCACTATTTGCTTGGTATGTCACTCCTCTCTCTCCATTCCAACACTTTAGCTCACTAGGAATCTTAAAAAATAGAACTCCAACTTTTAGCTGTGGAGGGCCCAGCTCCCAACCAGTCACCTTGATGGCCAGGCCTGCTGGAGTCAACTTCTCGGCATTTCGCTCACTGAGGCAATCTTCTCCCATCAAAGATGTGAGGTGCTGCAGACATTCTGCGTGTCCCTGCGATGCGGCAATGTGTAAGAGATTGTTTCCGTTTTCATCATGAATTTTGTCTAGATTGTCAGCAGCTAGGTGTGGCTGTACAAATAGTAAGAGTAGAAAACTTAAGTTAATAAATCAGAATGAGATGCTGAGGGAGTTTTGCTCTGGGCACCAGGAAGAAGAGATGAGCTGCTAGAAGCTTGCGTGGTAGCTATGCGGAACTAGTAAGTCAGAATTCCTTGCTATTAATTCTAATGATTTTCCACTATGCTTTTTGTTATACTATGCTTTAGGACACAAATGCCCAAGAGACTTATCTTCCCGTGAGCCATGGTGACAGGGATAAGTCAGCGAGCTTGTGGGGGCTCCAAGCTGGGTTTCTAAGCAACTTCAATGACATTTATGGTAACTGGCAGGCTCCCTGTCTGTCTCCTCCACTCGACTTTTAAGTCCTGAGGACCAGGCTGTGTTATATTCCCTGTTGCGTGTTGAGTGAATGAACTACTTGTCTCAACCATCTGCTTTGCCTTGAACTATGGAGAAGTGGCTTTGACTGCAAGCTCCATGATGACTGCAGCAACTAGTGCTTCCATGGTGGTACCTCTAGACACTTTCATCCCCACAAAAACTCCTGGGGGCACCTGGACGCTACCTGGCCTTTGGTTTTTCTCATCTCTAGTGAAGTTCAGTCCTCTGAGTATGAACTGGTTGACAAAGACTGTTGGGTAAACTGAGAGGTGTTACCATTTGGGAAACAGGAAAACATGGGAAGGACAAATGAAAGGAAAGAAACAAAAAGAAATAGAGAGGAAGAGCCAAGATAAATGGAGAAGACATTTTTAGGAGAAAAAAAGTTATTACTTTATTTAGTAAAATTGTTCAATCATATCATCCTATTGCAACAATCAGATTTGTGATAATAGACCAAGTATATTGTATATATCTATGTATGGCTTTACCCTAAGTAGAATCACACTGTCAAGATGTGATGATTTTCTTGAATGAAACTTTAATTAACATCATAGTATCAGCCCACACTTGCTACTGTTTGATCTAAGTCTGGAAGCCAGAAAAGAACAATGCAGGCAGATGGGGTGTGATTTCAGTTTAGCTCTCTCTGAGCCTAAGCAGAATAGACTGTTATTACATCATATTACTCTGCATGTAGAGTCTTTGGAAAAGCTTCTTCATGCTCCTTAGACAGGCAGAGCTGGAACTAAGTAAAAACTCCAGGTGGGTCAGAGGGCAATCAAGCTCTAGTGTAAGCTCCTATCTGCAAGTGCTTTCAAACATTTTCGTCCAACTCTTTTGAATAACGATCAGGATAAAACAGAAGACCCTCTGTTCACATATCTGGCAGGTCTACCATCAGCAAGGAACTGACATCCCCACAAATAACTAAGTAAGAGCATGGGGATCATTTGAAAAGCAAAAAGGTAGACATTGAAATTCAAGTTAAAGAAAGTGCGCGGCTTTTTCTGTTTTGTTTTTGTTTTAGATTAAGTGTCCTTATTCCAGTTGAATTCATGCAAAGTTAAAGTGAAATAACACTCTCTCTAAAGCCATTTGTTTTTCCCTGCACTAACCTCCTAATTTTTATTTTAAAACTCAAAAGTCACATCAACCAACCAAAGTCACAAGTAAAGACTAAATAAGAATGGGAACAAATGCTTCATCATTCTGTTAGTAATGAAAGGAGCTGATAAAATTGGAGTCTAGATTATTAATATGTATTTTGAACTATATCATACTTACCAGGAGAGATATTTGTCCTTCTTTAACGATGTTCAAGATGCTTTTTACTTTTTTCAGATATTCACTCCTTTCTTCTGGGCCTTGGGAGCTGGTCCAGTTCATGCCACCAATCTGCTCTTCTAGTTTGGTTTCTGTTGCTGAGGATTGCAGATGGAAGGCCCTGAGCTGGCAGTCTGGCATTGCCTTCTCAACTTTTCGACTATGTGGATCACTAAAGGTCTTGTTTAGGAAATCCTTACTCTGGTTTTCAGGCTCATATGCAGAGCCACATTTAACTAGAGGAGGTGAGCTCTCGGCTTCTTCAGTGGAGAGCTTTTGCTGGTCTCTGACGACAGATGATGCTTTTCTCAAGTGAGGGCTTTTCACAGGAGAAAGAACACAAAATGGTGTCATGTTGGATGGAGAGTTCTCAGGAGTTCCTGTAGAGCAGGCTTTGCTAGAAAGACCATTGATGGTTGTGCATAAACCCAAAATTCTTTTTTCTGAAGTCACCTTGGTAAAAGAGGCAAGCTGTTGATTGGATTTAATGTAAGGCACATCCAGAATCTCATCCATGTCGAGGTCATAATGCTCCAGTTCGCCCAGCAATGTGCTGGGCTCCGTGCTCTTACTTTGGGGGATGCCTTCTCTATCTCCAGGGCTGAGCTCCTCAGGTTGGGGGCCTGGGTCAGACTCACTCCCTTTCTGGTACTCCGTCTTCTGGTTCTTTTGGTCATCACTTTCATTGTTCTCGAGAGTCTCTGGCTGATGTTTCAGTGGGGAAACTCTCTTCACGGGGCGGAACTTACTGTATACATCAGCGATTCCCGTGGGCTTTTGCGTGTTTGTAATAAGAGTGGACACGCCACAATTCCAGCTAGAGCTAGAAACTGTTTTAAAATAAATTAAAAGAGGAGATGGTTAAGTTGAAATACTGAAAATATCTTGGCCATGCAGGCAGACATGGTCCACTCAAGTTATGCTCAAAGCAAGCCACTGTATAAGGGGACAACTTAGAAAGAAAGTGTATCATAAAACAGTTCATACTCACCACTGGAAAACACTGAATGATAAAAGAAAGTTATGAGATATTGGCTCAAAATTAATTAAAGTAGTAAAAATGGTAAAAGCAGACAGCTAAGGAAGACAAACCCAGATAGATGTTTAGATTTATTCCCTGGATAGTTACACCTCCCTAGCAGTATTTTGATACTTGTCACCACCCTTAAAAACAGAATTGGAGGATGGGATCCTCTGTGTTAAGCGAATTTCCAAACTAATTTAGGGAGGAATGAGGAGGTACACACACATGTGTGCATACACACACACACACATGTGTACACCCCTAAAGCTTAAGAAGTCCAATATAAAGAAGGGATAAATTGCTTAGTATCGGGCAAACATAAAACTGTGACCTACTGGATGATTCACTAGGTGATTCATTAGCTGGATTAGGGCAAGAACAGAAGGAAGGAATGAAGTGGTCAGGAGCTGACTGGCTTATGGGAGAGAAGCCACGGTTGAGTTCACCCCACTGAAGACTGAGTATCCCGGTCAACTATCATTCAGGGGCATTTCATGGTGCTTTCTGGAATATGACACAGCAACACAATGCACTAACACTTCACAATGGAACATGCTCTTTAAGATTCAATGCTGTCCTCCATTGCTGGGAAAGCTGGAAATAAACAGGAGGAGAGGAAGTTGAAAAGGGAGGGTGAGGTAGGCAGACTAGTTTTTTTTTTCTCATTTTTGTGCAAAGGTTAAAGATTGTACAGTTTGCATTTGAGTAAGTGTCTGGTTGAGATGGAGTGTAAGTGAAACAGTAACACATCTGGAAGTGAAAGATAAGAAGCACCACCTTCTCTCCCAGTTAACCTCACATGAAAGGCTGCCCTGTGCCTCCTCTCGGTGCAGGATGATGGAGAAACAACAGTCTCCTCAGCCATGAGGATACCGCTTCCTCTCTGGGACACTCCCTTGACTAGATGATAGATGACCCGGCACCCTTGGAAACTTGCAGGACACTGATTTATGGATTCCTACTCCCCTTCCAGCCAGCCCTGGTGCTCTAGTGGTTAAGATTCCGGGCTCTCACTGCCGCAGCCCAGGTTCATTTCTGGGCAGGGAACCACACCACCCACCTTTTGGTTGCCATACTGTGGTGGCTGCATGTTGCTGCGATGCTGAAAGCTTTGCCACTGGTGTTTCAAATATCAGCAGAGTCACCCATGGTGGACAAGTTTCAGCGGAGCTTCCAGACTAAGATGGATTAGGAAGAAGGACCCGGCCACTCACTTCTGAAAAATTGGCCATGGAAACCCTAGGAATAGCAGGGGAGCACTGTCTGATACAGTGCTAGAAGGTTAGAGGTGGTGCAAAAAGACCGGGCAGGGTTCATTCTGCTGTACACAGGGTCGCTACGAGACAGAATCAGCTCAACAGCGCTAACAACAAACTCCCCTTCCCCTTAGTTTACACCATTCCCCCATCAAAGATGTGAGGTTTCAGGACATCCCCTCCAAGCAGGGACCTCCCATCTCTCTCTCCTCTTCTGGAACAGCAGCAGGTGGGAAGTATTTAACTCCAAAGCCTATGTTTGTGTCTGTTCTTTGCTATTGGGCACAATCAAAGAATAAAAGAACCTGAGAGAGGGTGTACTCAGGCCTGTAACTTCTGTGACAATCCCTGGCTACCACTGATTCTTGGGGTGAAAGTGGCATGCTAGTTACTAAAAGTTCCCCAAATTTAGAACACTGGTCATTCTTTTTCCTATTGGGATGTGCTCTAAAAGGATTCAGAGGAGTTCTGGAACCAGGACAAGGAAGTGAGAGTGCTCTGAGCCTGAACGGTAAAGAACTGTTGGTGGGTGGGTTCTTTCCCCCAAATGGACCACAGTTTTGCATGGGGTTTCAGAGGGTCTTCATGAAGCTGTCCTCCTCTGAGGCCTTTCAAGCTCTGGCATTTTAGAATCTAAGAAGAGAATACTATGAGCTGTAGACGGCGACCTGGATTCTGTCCAGTAAAGAACAGGTATTAACAAGGAATGTTCCAGAAAGGAAGGAAGGTATGTGGATGCTCTTAAGCTGCTGCTCCTCTCCCTTTTTGTTGGCTCTGGTTCTTATATGTACACAGTACTTGGCACAGAGCAGACAATTAACAAATGCTAGTATTTGAATTTGACTCTCACTTTATACAACGCATTAAATCTCTTTTTAAATGCCCAAAGTGCATCCTTCTGAGGGATTTACAGCTTAATTTCACAAGGGACAAAAGTCTTGTTAATAAACTCAGAGGAGTGATAATCACCGATGAGAGCTAGATTTTCTGAAGTTATTTATGAAATGTAAATATGCAAAGTCAAAGACTAATTCCAGTTGGTCCATTATAAATTTAAAAGTTTTTCTACCTTTATATGTCCTTTTCTCCCTAAAAATGTGAAGCTATGAAAAATTAATGTCTGCCAAAAATTTCTGCCAAGCCTTTCTCTCTTTCAAAAACACATGGTTACTTATTTAAAACAGCAGAGAGATAAACTCAGACATTGAGTTTATAAAGTATAACTATGCCTTTAATTTTACCCATCAATTTTCTGAAAAGCTTCACATATAGTGGAAATATATATATATATATTCCTTGACATTTCTGAGATAGATACTTATTACTGGGTATGGTATCTGCTAATATTTTGTCAATTACCTTCATTTCTTTGAAACTTCTTGAAAATGTGCATCTCAGGATGTAATAAAAAAATTTTAAAACCACATAACTTAGTGGGCCAATACAACGAGTGCATTGTACCAATATATTTATGTATTGTATAAGGTCAGGGGTTCAAAGGGCTACTCTTTTATGTTGGCTTTATTTACATGTGAAATTTTTTCTAAGTGATACAGGGAAATGGATACCATATGTTTCCCAGCTGTTTTGTTCTGACAGGAGCCATTAAGAACGCTCTATGGAAATGAATTCTGTCTGAGTCTTATGAAAACACTTCTTTCCACAGAAGGGTCTCGAAACTGAAGAAAGGGCATCAACATTAGGCTTGTTGCCCTTCCCCTTATTCAAATCTATGACTTTTTTAGGCTGAGAGTAAAATCAATGCTTTCTAGTCTGTGTCTTGACTATTGGGAAAAATATCCCAGTCATGAGAAATGGATTATTTGACAAGTTTTCACGAGAAGGCTCCAATTTATTACTATATCATATACCCCAAAGTTTCATTTATACTGTTGTTCTACCCCAACACCATAACAAATTTCTTATAACACATGGAAACAAAGTTCGATTAACTATGGTGACTAGGAAGATTTTGAGGCTAAATTTGTTTTCTGGACATCGTGAATAAATACTTCACATGATAACCAACTTTAAATCCCTGAAGATTTTATCTGTTATCTTCTTAGATCTCTACAAGCTCCGTGAGAACAGGGTCTGTGTCTAATTTCTCTCTCTATCCCTCAAAGGACCCAGCAAACTGCTTTATGTAAGTAGGTTCTTAAAGACTTTTGGTTGAATGGGTTCATTTTTAACATCTTATGAAAGTAAACATGTTTAATATATCTTAAACCTGTCTACTTGATTATGTCACAAATTTTCTAAAATGGTTAGTTGGTAAATGAAAGTGTATTTGAGGCTGATTTACAGGCCCTGATTATCTCTTCTAACCTAACTGCCATTTGGGATGTCTCTGATCTCCAGCAAGGTATTTCCAATTGTCTGCTAACCATCCACATGTAGCCATTTATTCAACAGCATTTAATGCGAGCCTAGGGTGTGCAAGTATTTGTGACAGGCAGCATGTTACAATCCAAGGGTTTTATCCCCCTTCACTCTTGCCTGCTTCCTCCCTTCTCCTCCTCACCCAACACACACACACACACACACACTCACATATTCTGTCTTCCTTAAACATATTCCTGTACGCCCGGCCTGGATCATGTAACCACTTATGCAGTCTGCCAAGCAATCCGTCTCGAAGGCATCGTTGACCCTTCTCTTTGTCCCCTGCCCCTCATCCCTCAGGCACCAAGTCCTGCTGTGGCCTGATCCGAAATCCCGCTCAAATATGGTTCCTCTTCTTCATCCTATTACACTGACTGGACCACACTGGGAACCTCCCACAGCCTCTGCCAGGTTCCTCCTGCTGCCCTTGGTCTCCCTTTCCAGTCCTGAGTTATCCCTCTTCTGAAAAGTCTGATTTTGTCACTTCTTAGCTCAAAAACCTCTGGGGGCTCTGTACAGCGTAAAACAGTATTTCCCCTTATGTGGGATGCACATTCATGCCGTATCGTGAAGATGGCACACTGGAACCATGCTAAATACTGTTGGCTTAGAGAGTGAGGAAGCTATACTACAACTTTCAACTCTCTTTCTTCCTCCTAATTAATTTAAGGAGTTTCAACTTTGTGCTACAATAAATTTAACTCCTCTCCAAAACACACAATCTCTCTTTAGAATAATGAGACTGCAGGCCTTAGGCTCAGAGACTTTCACAGGCAAAGAGTTAACAAGAATGTTTTATTTTCATAGCATTCATTTTAATGATGACCTTGGATTTATTACAAGTGACATTGGTTTTCTATTTACAACACTGACATAAAGTTTCTTTAAAAAAATGTTTAACAGTAAGTTACTTTAGAAAAATATGTTCAATAAATAACAGTACAAGTGGTATACACGTAAAGCAAAAACAAATGAGGTAGATGTTGGCTATAACACACATTGTGGAAATAATACTTGAATTACTAAGGTTTGGGAAACTCTGGCTTTCAGGATAGTAGCTAAATTTGTTAGCATGGTATGATGCAGTTCTTTTATTTATTTTCTAATTTTTCTTCTTCCTTTTTTTTGGTGAGGAAGATTGGCCCTGAGCTAACATCTGTTGCCAATCTTTCCCTTTTTGCTTGAGGAAGATTATCCCTGAGCTAACAGCTGTGCCAATCTTCCTCTATTTTGTATGTGGGATGCTGCCGCAGCATGGCTTGATGAGCAGTGTGTAGGTCCACTCCTGGGATCCAAACCCATGAACCCCTGGCTGCCAAAGTGGAATTTGAAAACTTAACCACTATGCCCCAAGGCTGGCCTCTCTAATTTATTCTCATCTCAGCACCCATCATTCTCACATCATTAATTTTCCCTGCACACCATTGCTAAACTCACCCTTTCTGGATACACCATGTTCTTCCTTTGGGCGAATTGCCCCTCTCCTACAATGCCCTTGCTGCCTTCTCTGACTGAGATGCAGGTTCATCTGACAAGATTCCCCTCAGACGTTACCTTCTTGGTGTACTTCCTTTGAGTCTTCCAGGGAATTGTCGCTCCTTGCTTCTGAGTGTCCTGATAATACTTGCCTACAACCAGAGCGAGGCATTTCTGAAGTTCTGTTGTAACTATTTGCTCACACATTTGTCTCACCTTCTCTTTCCCAACTTCCTTAAGGGCAAAGATTGTTTGTGAACCTACCTGTGTTTATAATCAACCCTCTGTCTAGCACAGCATCTCTCAGGTATTGGGGCTTAGTGGGTAAATCTTTGAATGAATGAATGAATGAATGAATGAAGGGAGGAGGAAGGGAGGGAAATAAGGAAGGAGGGGGAAGGGACGAAGGAAAGGAGGGAGGGCAGGAGGGAGGAAGGAAGGAAGGAAAGCAGGCAGGCAGGCAGGAAGGAATATGTTAGACCAAAGATGCAAAGTATAGTAAACAAATATGAGTCTTGTCACAATGAGTAGATCTTGCCACATTTGGGGCACATTGTGTTGAATATTTTAAGGACAGTGTTAGTAAGCTACTGAAGATGTTCAGACATTTGAAGATGTGCTGCATATTGAAATATTTTCATATATTCCCTTCAGTAAGTTCTGAGCCTCGATTTCTTCATCTGTAAAATAAAGGGGTTAGAGCACACGATTGCTAAGACCTGATCCACCTCTAAATTTCTATGACTGTATGGAATGTCTACAAATAACAGGGCTCTTTATTCTGAGTGACTCACTATGAAACACTATAATTCTTCTGGATCCACGTCTTTCAACAGATCCTCACAAATTTATAATTATGAGGCTAAGCTGACTGCTGACACAGAACAACTCTCTGGCTCTTGGGACTGATAAATTAGTATTTTCTTAGAAAGATAATAGATAGTTTTCTATTGCAACAGTGGATACAATTTTCAAGACTAAACGTCAATGCTGGCTCTGAAAATGCCTATTTTACTTCTAAATATGGAGTTATGTGGATATATTAGAAAATTAACTTTAGACATCAAGAAGAGAAAGAAAAGGAGTATGTGTTTAAGATAAAATAGTGTTTCCCACTGTGTATTGTTAAAAGTTAAATAAATTCTATTTTCCTTGAGAAACAAAATGGTCAGCTTCAACTGTAATTGCCTTAAAAATGTACATAACAATACACTCTACGTATACAGCTACTAGAAACCTAGGCACCTTCAAGGACATACCTTCTAAGTTCTCCAACATTTCATTTTTACACCTAAGGGAGGGACTTTATGAAAGATTGGGAGTGTTGATCTTAAGAGTCATGAGTTTCCCTAATCCAATGTAAACTGAAATCTGTAGTGGGCCCACTTATTGTAAACATCTCAGGCTCTGGAAGGAGTGGTGACAGGTGACCTCTACCATCTCATGATAACAGGAAGAAGGTTATGGAGTTTGAGTGAGGACTACTTGCTGGATGTTCTTCTGTACTATCCTTGGAGACCAAACTGTAACGTGATCCTAACAAGGGTTGAGTTAACTCTGGATTTGGAGAATTGTGTAGGGCCATTATGCTGGGAAGAGCCAATGTGTGCAAGGAATGCATCTTTCTGGAACATTTCCAGGGGCTTGCTTGCTCATCCCTTTCATTGATGCCACGGACCCTTTACTAAGGGTATTGTGAGGCTGAAGGGGAAGTAGAGGACTTTATTCCTATAAAAATATCAACCAATGATTTATTCATATTAAGACGTTAAAATACTGTTAGAAAAGATTCATTGATTTGGTTCTAAGCTTCCTTACTTTAAGCGGCTACTGATACCAAGCAGCTGTTGAAAGTGTTAGATTGATGTTTCATTATTCCCAGTTCTGCCCAGAATTGTATGAATTACATGAGATCTGCTCATGCAACTTTGTGCCCCATCTTTGCTCGCTTCTTTGTTCTGTAAAAATTCATAGAAATATTCAAGCCCTTAGTACACTGGATAGAAAAGGTACTTCTTCACGAAAGAGGCATGTTCTATCATGATATCAGACTCAATATTTTGACAACTTTAAACTTTTGGGCTTCAAAAGTACAGTTCACATAGAATAGCAATTGGTGGGTCTGAAAAAAGTACATGATTTCAGAGTTATTCTGTCATCTAAAAAGTATGTTGACCTTCACTTTGACATTAGCAAAACCTCTTGAGTGGATTAAGTCTTGTATTCACTCCAGGTCCATTTACCAGGTTTCCTTTCCTTCTTTCTTTCTCTCCCTCTCAGTGCTGAACTGTAGAGAGTGATACACATCAAGGGACAGTGAAAAGACTCATCAAGCAGGGAAGTGCCAAAACAAGAGAGAGCTTGCTCAGTGTGGTTTCTAGAAGTGTTAGCAAGCTCAGTGTAGTTTCTGGAAAGTGTAGAAACACACTTACCAATTTTAACTGAAGATGGCGATGTTTTACAGTGTTGATCTACTGTCAAGGACAAAGAACACCAAGTTACTGGTCTTTGGTAAGAAAGAGCAGGAGGCAGACGGGGTGGGGGTTGGAAAATCCCTACCCTCTACTCCCGATCTTCAACTGATGCCTCCCAAAAAGCCTGTTTATTTGACTTCTAAATATGGGTTATGTATCCACATTAGGAATACAGCTTTAGACACGAAGAAGAGAAAGAAGAGGGGGTAGGTATTTGGGGTACCAGATTATCCCCCTACTGTTTTCTGGCTAAAAGTTAAATAAATTCTATTTTCCACGAGAAACAAAGTGGTGAGTCTGTGAAACCTGGTCCCATTTTGAGAGGGATGCACCTTAGGATCTCAAGGGGAGGAAAAATGGGAGGAAGAACTAGCATTGGCCTACAGCCTGCTCTTCCTCTTGGCAGGCCCACAGGGTCCGCCCACGGGAGCTCCTGCCTGAGCCGGGGGTTCTCAATTACAAGGCTGCAGAGAGAACAAGGCAGGTATAGCTGGACAAATCAAAGCACAGACAGAGGCTCCCCCCAGGAAACATGAATGGCAGAGCCACTCCTCCTCAGTGTTCCAGGGCAGTTCAGTATGCGCTTCACAGGCACTATTATAAACAATGGAAAGAAGACTTAGGTTTAAGAATGCCTTGAAATGATATTTCTTAATTGGAATTTTCCTAAAATTTCCTCCATTTAACACTTTAAAATTGCTAATACAAAATATTTGTATAAAGTTTTCTATGTTTCTGAGTACAAGACAAGCATATGATTTCATTAGAGGTTTTCACAACTCTGCAGGATGGATGGGCAGTTCTTATTTATTCTCACTTGAGAACTCAGGGGATTTTAAATGTTATGTGGAAAATTACACAGCATGCTGACTGCTCAACCAGGACCGAGGTTCCCTGACTCCAGCTCTCTTTCCATAACACCACAGGACTGCCTTATCACAATTAAAATTATTCCCTAAACACGCAATTCACATTTTCTCTGTTTGAGTCACATGTAGGCAATGGAATCCCAGAAACCAGTGGCAAAACCGGGTTGTACTCATTTCAGATTCATTTTAACCTAAATACCAAACTGTTCTTTGCCTAGATTTTGGTAACCACTGATTATGAAGCTTCTGTGTGGAAGCAAAGTTAGGAAAATGGTTTTTAATGACAACTTGTCGTAGAAACAGTTGAGTGGAAGAATTTCCTACTTTGTTTATCCTCAGTGGCATCAGCCTAAATTTAGAGTCACCATATCACTAAGAATTTGTTCTTTCAGCTGCCAATTCCTTCAACTGGTTAAAGGTGGCAATCTTTTTCTAACGTAAGCAAGAGATATGGGAATACCATAAAGCTTGTTCAGAAGTGTAAGAGTAAATGGCAGAATGCTAAAATACTCTTACAGGGTTCATTCATTCAACAAACATTTGTTGAATGCTTTCTGTGCACATGGTTCCAGGGGTGCAGAAGTGAATGAAATAGACATAATCCCTGCCCTCATGGGGGAATCAGACAGTGAAGCAAGTATAGAGATGAATAAGAAATTATGAAATGCAAAGTGCTTTGAAGAAAACAAGTAGGGTATTGGAATCGAGAACTGCTGAGAAGCCAGATCATGGAGGAGAAACTAAGGGCTGGGAGATGAGAAGAACTTATGTGAGGATCTGGGGAAAAATGCAAGAGAAAAGACAATTTTGCTAAGGTCTGAGTAGAAGGACGCATACTCGCAAATGCCTAAAGCAGGAGACAATCTCGCAGGTTCCATAACTCTTATGTCTAGAGCAGTCTGAGTGAGGGCAAAAGTGATGGAAGACCAAGTTGGTACAGGTTGTCAGGGCCAAATCATTTGGGGGTTTTATTGGCCACAACAATGATTTTGATTTATATTTTAACTAAAGTGGGGCATCCCTGGAAGGATTTCACAGAGAAGTGAAATGATTTGCTTTCTATTTTAAAATATATCCTTCTGCCTATTCTGCAGGAAACAGGTTATTCCTGGGGTGGTCAAGGATTGGTGGTGAAGAAAGAAGTGAGACTAGTTCATGGCTTCTAACTTCAAACATACAGGTGGCCTGGCCTGGCGGGTGGCTGTTGAGATGGAGAGAAATGGACGGAAGGAGAGCTACTCTGAGCACAAAAGACTCAGGACCTAGTGACGGACTGATGTGGAGTGTGAGGGAAAGGGAGAATTCTGGGTTTTTGTCGCTGAGCAGATGTTTCAGTAAACTGAGTGCCGTTTACTGAGGGGGGGAGTCTGAGGAGGAACATATTGGGAAGCAGGATTCAAGAATTCCTTTTCAAAATCCTATGAGACATCTAATGTAGATACTGAGTGGGCCATTAAACAGGAGGCTAGAGTACTGGGGTGAGTAGCAGCAGAATGTAAGTGGCATTTGAAGCCATGAGAATGGATATCAACCTAGAGAGACTTAAGATATTGAGAGGAGAGAGGGTCCTATGGAATACTTAAGTCCTACTTGGATATTTAAAGGCCAAGTAGAGAAGGAGGAGGAGTTGCAAAAGAGACTAAGAAGATGTCAGAGTGTTAGGAGAAAAATGAGAGAAGTGGTATCACAAAGCCAAGAAAGAAGAATCTTTCCAGAAAGGTGCGGCCAATAGTCTCAAATAATGGGAAGAGGCCAAGAAAGATGAGAATATCAGTGTCAATGGATTTGACACCATGGAAGTCATGATCTTCCCTAGAGAGGTGGAAGTCATACTGGAGATACTTAAGTGAATGGGAGGTGGAGGACTGGAGACGGAGGTTCCCTTAACTCTTGAAAGCAGGTTGGATGTAAATGGGTGGAGGGAAGGAGAGGAAAGAGCACAGAAAGTGGGTAGAAGCCACTAGAGGGGGTACTATGTGCTTGTTTTTTAAAATAGGAGATAATTAGGGAGTGTTTGTATGATGAGGGTGATGATAGCTGAGAAGGAAAGACTTTGATGGTGCAGATAGATAAAGTAACTGAAAGATCAAGGTGTCAAACCAAACAAAGAGAAGGTATGTCCCAATCTTCAATTATGATGCAAAACCCAAAGAAGCAAGGCTAGCTTTCACCTCTTTACATATTTCTTCATCCATCCATACCTCAGATATATATATATTTAGCACCAGTGTCAGGCACTGGAGATACCATAATGAACAAAATTACCCAAAAGAGATTTTATTTAGTCTACTAGAGAAAACTGATATTGAACCAACATCACATTATTAATAATGCTAAAACAGATATTTAAAGAAGAGGAAAAGTATAGGGAATTAGGAAATAATATAAGTTGGAGGGAGGTGCTGATATAATCGAGGCTTGCACTATCCAAAACAGGAGCCACTAGACACCTGTGGCTATTCAGCACATAAAATGTGGCTAGTAGCATTTGTTGAAATGATAATAGCTCTGATTTACTGGGTTAAATAAAATCTACTATTAAATTAACCTCATCTGTTTATTCATATTTTTTAATATGGCTACTAGAGAAACTTTAAATTATGTAAATGGCTTGCATTATATTTCTATTGGACGGTGGTGGTCTAGGGAGTCAGGTAAAAGGGCCCTGAGGAGGTTAACTTGGAGTTGAAAGGAGAAAGGGAAGGACATCCCATGTGAAAGAACACAGCACATTTGAAGAACTGAAGGAGGTTCCTTGATGTGACTGGCAGGCAGAAAGCAGGGAGAGAGTGGCATGAGAGGAAGCTTGCTGGTCCCAGGAGATCACTCAGGGCCTTGAAGGTCACATAAAGAGTTTCCCATTGTATATCTTGAGAACCATCTTGGAAAACCATTACCTGGCTTTGAACATGGAGTGACATGATCAGATTTGCATTTTAGAAAAGATCACCATACCTTATCATGGACAATGGATTAGCACTGAGGTGGCCTAAGTCAGTGCTTCTCAAACTTGAGTATGCACAAATAAATCACCTGGAGAGCTTGTTAAAAAGCAGATTCTGATTTGGAAGTCTGGGGCAAGGCTTGAGAGTCTGCATTTCCAACAAGCTCCCAGGTGCTGGTGCTGGTCCTGCACCACACTGTGAGAGGTGAGGGCCTGAGCCATCAACTGCCATAGAAGGGTCTGGGTTTTTGTAGATAACTCCTGACTCTCTCTGAGGATCCTTCAACTATGAGATTCTAGGGTTCTAAAATACTTTAGTTTCTTTTATGACTTGTTTTTGAGGGAAGAGTCAGGGCAAAGGAGGTATGCGGGCAAAGAGGAGTCACTGAAAATGGGGAGACAGAGCCCACTCAATATTGGGAGACAAAAGAAAAAGGATATGCTCTCAGCAAGAAGTGGGGGGGCTCTTAGAGATGCTATAAAGCTCCAAAACTAGTAACAACCCCCCTCCCCAACAAGTACTCATGTTCAGCTCTTTCCCTCCCTGCCTAAATGCTTCTCTTTGTACTTCCGGTTTCTCATCCTTCCTTACTGCAGATATCCTTGAACTCATTTCTACCAAGAGGAGATTTCTTTATCAGTTTTGGGATGGGGATATGTTTCTTAGAGTCCAATAAAAATAAACCAAAGCGTAGAGAAGGAGACTGTGGTATGGTATGGCAGTCCTTTCCCCTAAATGTTCTGTCCCTCTAATTCTGTCTCATTCCTGACTTTCTTAATTCCACAATGCTGGTAACCTTTTAGAATATTAGGGAGCTGTGGCACGTAATTATAGCTATGGCTAAATAAGAAGACACGATCAAGTAAAGAGAAGAAGGGGCAAAGATGTAACGTATTTAAGCTCTGCTTCTCCAGCCCCTTTCATTATTTTCTACACTAACTCAGTTATATTTTTAACTTTCCTGCCACCCCCTGCTCCCATCTTTCCCCCAAACGACTTCCACCCTTTCTCTTAGAAACATAAGCAAAGTGTTAATGGATTAAAGTCAGGGATGGTCTCTCCTTTTGGACAGAGGGGGTAGCTCTAGTTTCACGGCTGAGTTCTGTGGTTCATTCAAAATGATGGCCATGTACCTGCTGCAGTACCAGAAAAAGTAGCAGATAAAACTGTCCATACATTATGACTA